TTTCTTCTAGAGTGGGTTCTTTGGGCTAGAGGCAGTACAACAGATAAGGAAATTACCTTTCGTGAGGCTGACCCTTGGCCCCCAGCATCACATAAGGTCCCCTGAGCACCACCAGGAGTGATCTCTGAACACAGCCAGGAGCAAGTTCTAATCACCGCCAAAACAAGAAACAAACAAACAAACAAACATAACCCAGAGTGGGCTCTTCATCCTTGTTTTTGCATTTTCTTCCCTGTCTTTTCCTCATCCTCTTCTGCTCCTTTTTCCTGCTTTCCCTCCCTCTCTGCCTCCATTGAGTCTCTGTGCTTAAGGGGCCATGTCACGTCCTTTCCTGACAACTTGCCCTGTGGTGCTCGTGTCTGATCTCCCCTTGCTCAAGTATAAGGTCCTGAGTTCGTTCCCATCTCATCTGGGCCAGTTTCTCTTCTCCATGGGAGCTGTGATTGGAGAGCTACTACTTTCAAACCTTTCCACTCCACATGTATGGTGGCCTGCAGGTGGCTTGGCTGTGCCTGCTTGCTCCTTTGAGGCCCCCTCAGATACCCAATTTCCAGCTGGGGGTGGGGCCAGCCCAGCCTTTCAGCCATGGCTTGTTCCCCTAGACTCGGCCCCATAAACTGGAAGATGCCAACCCCTAGAAACCTCCTTTTTATTTTTTTTGTTTTTTTTTTTTTTTGCTTTTTGGGTCACGCCCGGCGATGCACAGGGGTTACTCCTGACTCTGCAATCGGGAATTACTCCTCACAGTGCTCGGGGGACCATATGGGATGTTGGGAATTGAACCCCAGTTGACCGCATGCAAGGCAAATGCCCTGGCCGTTGTGCTATCGCTCCAGTTCTTCCTTTTCATTTTTTGGGGGGTTGGGCTAAACCCAGTGGTGCTAGAGCTTACTCCTGGCTCTGCACTCAGAAATCATTCCTGGGGGTTCTAGGGATATCTGGGGCATCAGGGGTCAAACTTGGGCTGGTCGTGTGCAAGGCAAGTGCCCTACCCACTGTGCTATCGCTCTGGCAACCTTCTTGCCTCGTCTGTGGACTCTGGAGGAACCTGGGGCTTCTCCAAACTACTTCCAGACCACCTTTACACAACACTATACCCCATACTTCTCTTTGACTCCAGGACAGTAGGGGAATTCCTGGTGTTCCTTTAGCTCATGTGTTCCCAAGGTTATTTTTGAGGATGGAGCTGGGAGACATCTCCTTCATTCCATGCACCAGAATCTTCTCCTGCTCCCCTTGGCCACCTCATTTAGGGGAGGGAGATTGGGTTTTTAGGTCGCACCTGGCGTACTCTTGGATCTGTGTTCAGGGGTCACTCCTGGTGAGGTTCAGATGATCCTATGGGGCTCAAACAGGAGGTCAGCCCTGGGCCACACCTTGCCCACTGTGCTCTCTCTCTGCCCACACACCCCCACCACGCCCCGTGCTATCTCATTTTAAGGTTTACAAAAGAATGTCCTTGTTTGTTGGATTGAGTTACTTGCATAGCTTTTGGGGATCTGGTTTGTTTGGGTCAGTTCATACGGCCATCAGGGCCATCGGGGCCATCGGGGAGTCTGTCACACCTCCCTCCTTCCAGAGACACACAGCCTTGCTCAGCCCCAGCTTTTCCCCTGGAGCTCCCGCATTAAGCCTTTTAAGCCTCGGCACACGGAGGAGCTTCCAGCTGCAATCGAGAGGGGAGGAGCAGGGAGCGACCCACCGAGGGACCCCACAACATCATGAGAGTCAGAACATGGACACGGCAGAGAAACAGAGCAATGATGGGGAGCCGGGCGGGACGGGGACGGGGGAGGGAATGTGGGAACATGGACGCGGACCCTGTGCTTGGCTCTCGTGGGAGGGACTCCAAGGACAGTATGGTGGACTCCTCGGGTCTCTGCCCACACCCCACTGCCCTCTCCCGCCTCCTAGGGGATCTGGGCTGGCCTCCTGCAGCCACACGCAGCATGGTCTCCTCACGGACACGCAAACACAGCCGCACAGTGGCACGGTGACCGCACCACACCCATGCCAGGGCCGCCACCCTGGTGGTGTTGTGGCCTCTCCCCTGCCTTGGCCTCCCATTGTCCCGAGAGCTTGCCCTGCCCCCTGGTGGTCACTGCCCTCTAGACGCCGTGGACTCCAGCTGCCCCGGAACCCTCCCCTTCCCTAACCCAAGAACCACCACGGGGACTCACTGGTGATCAGACCTCAGGCTGCGGATCCTCAGAAAGTCCCTCTCCAGGCTGCTTCTTCACCATCCACCTGGGACCCCCCCTCCCCACATACACCGACCCTGCCAAAGAAGCTCTCCCCATATCCTGAGTTCTCAGACGATGCCAACTCCCCTTCCTCATCAGAGGGGTCCTGTCAGTTACCTTCCTGCCAACTTCCCCCTTGGCCTGGCTCCATCAGACACCCCTCCTTCCCCTCTGCCCTCCTCTGAGAAGGAAGAGCGGGAAGACATCCCAAATCTTCTTGGTCTTTAGCCCTGCAGCACTGGATGGTATGACCACCTGAGCACCCTCTCTCTCTGTCTCTCGTGTCTATCTCTCTGTCTCTCTCCGTCTCTGTCTCTCCCCAGCTTTGGACTGTGCAACTAGTGGATTGCGGGGTAGATGACATCAAGACTCAAAGCACCGGGTACCGGGCACAGAGCTGGGGGATGGGTTTGGAGACACACATGTCAGCCTCCAGCATCTCTGCCCGGAGGTGACAGTGACCCCCTAGGTTGCCATGGAAGTGGCCCAGAAGGGTATCCAGCTCAGTAAGTGGACTCCCCCACGCCCCCCCCCCCTGCACAGCAGTAACAGAGGGCGGGAGAGCAGCCAAAAGGGGGCAGCAGAAGCCAGGACAGCCCCAAGGTGGAGGGGTTCTGGGGTCTGGGGTTGGGCAGGGCCACGCAGAGGGACAGCCAGGCTCCACGGACTCAGAGACAGGGACAGACACACCGAGATGGGGACGGACACACAGAGATGGACAAGGAGGAAGAGAGGAAACCAGTGTGTGGGGGAGGGGCAGAGAGCAGTCAAGAGTCAGGGAGGGAGACAGAAAAACGGGCAGAGATGGGGCTTGGAACCAGACAGAACCACCAAGATGGCCCCGGGACAGGACAGTTTCCACAAGGAGAGCGAGAGAAGAAACCAGGTTTGGTGCAAGGGGCAGGCCAGAGACACACATGGGTCGGGGGGCATCCCAGCTGCACAAGAGGTGCCCGGGCCCCGGGTCCAAACCTCCCCAGGCACCCCCACCCCCAGCAGGGCTCAGGTTTCCGGGGGTCTGAGGCCTCTCCCAGAACTGGTGTCTGTGCTCGTCCTGAGTTCCCCAGAGCCAGCGTGAGAGGACAACAGATGTGGGGACAGTCTTCAGGGCGGCTGCAGCGGCCGAGAGCCAGGAGGACTCTCCGAGGTAAGTGGCTTCTGGGGGGTCAAGCTCCAGCACCCCCAGAAGAGAGGGCGCTCGTATGGGCCTGGGATTGGCTGAGGCACCCCGAGGCTGGGCATGGGGCTGGGTCCCTCTCCTGGGCGTGGGGGCAGGGACTCGGCCCCCTCCTCTCTCCCTCGGCCTCTGCGGCTCCAGCAGGCCCCCTCCCCTTCTCCTACCCAGGCCCCTGTAATTGCTTTCCCATGTCGCTAATGGAGGCCAGATTGCTGATGCCCTGGGTGGGCGGCCGTGGGTCAGAGCTGACCGAGGCTCTCAGGGTAGAGAGACCCTCAACCCTGCCCCCCCCCACACACATACAAACATACAGACTCGGACCTATCCCAGGAAGAATCCCAGGTGACTGCTGGCCTCTCCATCCCTGTGTGCTAGGCCTGGCACACAGGGTCTGACCTGGGTCACGCCCGTCAGGGACCAGGGCTGGGGGTTGCAGGATACAGGGGCGGGGCCCACAGCCGCGTCTTGGTAAGTCCCCAGCCGGGCATAGTCACAGCCCCGGCACTCTTGGCTCTGTGCGGTAGCTCCTGCCTGGACCCCCCCTTTACTGGCAGAGTGCCAGCACCTTCCCTGGAGCCCCTAGACAGGCCTGACTCAGTCTGGTGCTACCCCGGCAGCACTGGGACAGCCCAGGAAGCGCTACCTTCTGTGGCCTGAGAAAGGGGGAACTGGGAGCAGGTGTGACTCGTGGCGGGGGGCAGGGGGGGGCGGGAGGTGGTCAGGGGCTTCCGAGGACCAGTCTGCAGGGAGGTGGGGGGCATCTCTCGGTGCACAGGGATGGTGCTGTGGCCTCTGCTCCACCTGCCCAATGAGGAAGTGAGCCTGACCCCCCAGGATGGGCTGTGGGTTTCACCCACGAAGTGATAGCTCAATGGGTAGGGCATTTGCCTTGCATGTGGCAGACCTGGGCCGACCCTGGTTCGATTCCTCCGTCCCTCTTGGAGAGCCCGGCAAGCTACCGAGTATCCCGCCCACACAGCAGAGCCTGGCAAGCTCCCCATGGCGTATTCGATATGCCAAAAACAGTAACAACAAGTCTCACAATAGAGATGTTACTGGTGCCCACTCAAGCAAATCGGTGAACAATGGGAGGACAGTGACAGTGACCCCACCCTAGGCATTCTCTGCTCAGGAGCCCCTGGTAAGGTGGCTGTTTAGAGGGGGCTGGATCCAAGCAGGCTGGAGTCCAGACACCCTGCCTCTGAGAAAAGCCAGAGCGCCCTGGAGTTCCAGACCAGGGCCTAGTGTTGGGCCAGGGGAGGTGGTGGGAACTGTGGAAGTCAGACCCGGCTTCTGCTACCCCCTCCCCCAACACTCTGCACCATGCACCAGGCCTCACCTACAGAACCTGTGGCCTCCGTCCTGGTGGCAGGGAACCCCTTCATTCCCCACAACTCCTTCCCAGGGGCCTCCAGAAAGCCACCCCTACCCCCGCCCAAGCGACCACAACTCTATCCCGGACGCTCACGCCTGGTGCAGAAATGCCTGACCCCACCCACAGCCACTCTGCTCCAGGCCTCAGAAGGGGGTCCTTCCCAAGTGGGTCTGTTTCAAGGAATCATGAAATGGTGACGTTTAATGAGAACCCCTGGCCCCCACCCCACCCCTGTATATACAACTATAAAAAATTCAAATACAGCAAGTTACCATTGAGTCAGACGGGAGGGAACAGACGGGCATTAAATACTGTCGGGCGGGAGCTGAGAGAGGAGAGGGGTATACAAAACAGGGCGGGGCACTGAAAAGTGTGGGTGCTGGGGGGAGGGGGTGGCTGAGACCCCCCAGCGTCAGGAGCTTATAATCGGATGGTGGCAACAGAGACCCTGGGGCAGACAGGAGGCGGGGGTAAAGGGCGAGACTAGATGGGGGGCTCCCCTCAGGCCCCCCATGGGCTCCTGGGAGTCGCTGGCATTGGAGGGTCCAGCCCGAGGGGGTGGGAGATGGTCTTTGGTGGGTGGGTTAGCTGCATGGCCCTCTTCTCCCGAGGGAGGGGTGAGGGCCTGGTGGGGGCGGGGGTGAAGGTCAGGGGGATGGCAGGCCCGGGCCTGCCGGGGTCTCTACAAATTGTGTCTGAAGAGAATGCAGAAAGGCCCTCCTGCCCGTGTGCAAAATAGAAACGGGGTCTGCGGGCTCAGCTCCGGCCTCTGCTCCTCCGCAGGTGCGCTGGCCTCTGGCCTGTCCTGGCGGGGAAGCCGGCTCTGCTGAGACATGGGGGGCCGTGAGGGAGGGTGGGGGAGGGGGTGCTCACATACACACACATACACACATGTACACACATACACACATGTACACACACGTACACACACATGTACACACATACACGTGTACACACATGAACACATGCACACGCACACGTGCACACACACAAATGCAGACATGTACATGCGTACACACGTACACATATACACACATGTACACACACGCACACGCACGCACGCACCCCATCCCCGTAGCTCCAGCCCACCTTACTGCACTGACCAGATCAGGAGACTGCTGGCGGCGGTGGCGGCGGCGGTGGCAAGAGCCAGAGTGACAGGGACGCTCATGCCCACGGGCGCAGAGGGGCTGCCGCCGCTGCCCAGCTCCCCAGGGTCACAGATCTTCGTGGTGGGTGGGGGCGTCAGTGAGCTGCTGGTGCTGGTCGTGGTCTCTGGGGAGCAGGGAGGAAACTCAGGGCGGGGCTGGGGCTGGGGCTGGGGCTGGGGTTCCCCCCCACACACACACCCCATCTAGGAGACACACTTCCTGCAACTGATCCTGCTGCCTCTCCCATCCCCCAACCCCGCCTCCTCTCTCAGACCAGTGGGTCTCCCCCCTCAGACAGGCTCACAGAGGCCATCTCCACCCCACCGGCTGAAAGCAGAGTGTGTTGACAGCAGGGGCTACATAAAGCGGGGGGGGGGGGGTGCCCTTTAAAGCTCCAAGGCCCTGAGTCAGTGGGGCAGCGTGTGTGTACGCGCGCGCGGGAGGGGGAGTGGGGAAGGGCTCACCGGGGGTCTGGGCCTCTGTGGTGAGGTGTCGGGGCTCCTCTGTCCAGGGCGTGGCATGCGCAGCCACGCTCCAGTCGCTCCACGTGCCGATCTCATTGTCCTTGGCGGCCACCTGGATGATGTACTCCTTGCCGGCGTAGGCATCTGTGATGGTGTGCGCGGTGCCGTCTGACAGCTCCACCTGTAGCCGGAGCGGGACGGGGGTGGGGGTGGGCAAGGACACCCCTGGGGGGGCAGTAGCAGGGCGGGGGCAAGTGCTGTGGAGAGTGAAGACAGCTTGCCAGGGGGTGAGGGTGAGGGGGTTGCTGGCTGAGAATATTCCCGCTTAGAGTGCCAGCGGGAGAGAGACATCCCCCGACCCCAACGCCTCTTCCAGGGAAGAGACAAGCCTGTTCCTCAGAGAGAATGAGGAAATCTATTTTGGCCGGAGGTTGGGGGTGGGGGGCAGGAGCTCCAAGCGGTACTCAGGAGGCCTGGGGGCCCACGGGACTCAATGCCAGGGCTGAGGATGTGATGCTGCTCGGGTACTGACACGCTGGGGACACCTGGACGGCACAGGGACCCAGGCAGTGTGGGCACTGGAACCCACGCTGGGTACATGTCCTGACCACTGTGCTAGCCCAAGAGTAAGAAAACCATTTTGGGGAGGAGCAGAGTTGGGGGGGGTTGGCCACACCTAGCAGTGCCCAGGGGTATGGGGTGCCAGGGATTGAATCCGGGTCAACCACGTGCAAGGCAAATGCCTTATCTGTTGTACTATCTCGCCAGCTCCCAGTAAAAAGAAAAAACAATCTTTGGTTTGGCTTGGGGAGGCGGGGCATGCCCAGTGATGCTCGGGGCTCGCTCCTGGCCGTGCACTCAGGGACCACTTCTGGCCGTGCTTGGGAGACCATATGGGGTTGCCGGTTGCCAGGGATAGTACCCGGGTCGGCCGTGTGCAAGGCAAGTGCCCTATCCCAACCCCCTGTACTACCTCTCCCGCCCCACCCCTGCTCCCGCTTAGGTAAAGAAATCTGTGAGGAGGCTGGAAAGAGACAGGAGGCCAGAAAGGTGACTGAGGGGTTGGGATAGTGCTGCCCTCACTCCAGCCGCAGGTCAGACAGGAAGTTCCCCAGCAGATGGAGCGAGGCTCCTGCCCTGCCTAGGGAGGGGACAGAGGCCCCGAGCCCCCACAAGCTGACGGCCCGCCCTGTAAAATGGTGTTAACGATCCCTCTCACAGGGCCGTAACGAGGACTCGGCACACGGTCAGCACTGCAGGCCGCTCTGCCCATCCCGCGCCCACTCAGAGCCAGGGATCCCGGCTGCCCTGGGCACCCACCCACACCTCCTCGGCAGGCCCACCCCTCAGGAAGGCCTCGTGGGCTTGATGCCCTGCCAGAGGTGGAAAGGGGGGGGTGAGGTGGGGGGACACCAGGACAGCTGCTCTCTTTCCTCCTGAAGGCACAGCCGCGCAACCCCGCCCCGGCCGGCCCCCATCCCGCTGGCCTCCCCACTCCAGGCTGGCCTGCCTGTCCGGCGCCCCTCCAGGTCCGGGCTGGGCTCTGGTTCATCTCAGCGGCACCCGCCGCCTCATTAAGCCGCCTCGTAAACAGGGGCAGCCGGCAGGGGTGGAGGGGGGCCCCCTATCCCCGCTCTGGGCCATGTCTGGCTTTAGGGCTTTTTGGTCCCTGTTCCAATCCTCATCCCCCCCCAACTCCAGAAAAGAGGGGTCTGGGTTACCTGATCAGACAGGCTTTGAGCACATGCACACGTGTGTCTGCGTGTTCCTAGGCGTGCAGCTGCATCTGTGTGTGTGGCCCCTCTAGTCCGCCCCCCCAATCCCCCTCCCGCCAATCCCCCAATTAGAACCCCGGGGACACTGACAGAGGTCAGGATCAAGGCAAGAGCCGTAGTGCTTGGGAAGTCCTACTTCCTGGTGGACCCCAAAGACCCAAAGACCATCTTCTCCTAGAATCAGATGCCAATCCCACCACGGGTCCCCATGTCCTGGCTCTGTCAAAGAACCCCATCTGCTGGGGCATCCCTGGGGTCCTTGGCCCCTACCCCTTCCTTTCTGTCCCCAGAACCCCACACCTGTCATTCTCTTGAGGGAGAAGGGCCTGGGGAGTAGATCTAATCACCACCTTGTTGATAGGCTTCTGGGGGTCCCCAGGTCTCTAGGCACATGGCCGGAGCCCTGGGCAGGCCGCCGCCCATGGCCAGGCCCTTCTTGTATCACTGATCCTTTAATCCCACTCCTTGAGAGAAGGGCTCATCCACTGGCAAGATTTCCTGGGTGGCTGGCATGAGCCTCACCGTCGTGCCCTCAGCAGGTGCCACACCAGCCCCACCAGTCTCCTGGAGGAACAGAGAAGACACCGCGGGGGGCCCCCACATACACACACCCCTTCCTCGGGTGGAGGTGGGGTCCCCATCAGACCTCGGGGCACCCATTCTTGTGTGATTCCTACCCCGAGTTCTCCCTTGTTTCCTTCCGAGACCCAGAGGCCGTTCCCTCTGTCTTCCCCGGGGGGCCGCCTCACCCTGAGACACACCAACCTCTCTTCGAGGCCAGAGCTCAGGGAGCTCCTCTGTGGAACGAGCCACGATGCCCAGGAGGCAGGGCTGGCACCTGCTCGGGGCCACACAGGGCTTTGACTGCAGGACCCTCAGGGGCCCACGGGTGGGGCAGGGGCAGGTCTGCCCGTGGCAGGTAAGTGGCCCGTGCAGGTGTGTGTGTGCGTGTGTGTGCGTGTGTGCGTGTCCCCTTGGGGGGGCGGGCGGCAGGCCAGGCCCACAGCCCGGCGTGTGCACTGCGCGGCACAGGGATGCTGCCTGCAGCTCGTTAGCGGGGGAGGGGGGCTTGTGAAACTAGACCCTGGTTATTAGTGGTACATTAGGCGCAGGCAGCTGGCCAGGCGGGAGGGACTCCGGACTCTGTCAGGGAACATGTGAGCGTGAGAGCAGCCTTTGTGGGGGCCAGGCCTGCCAACCCGGACAGGCGCCCTGGAATCGAATTACGCACTTTAAAGGCCAGCCTGAGTGGGGGACTGGAGTCTGGTGGACTCGGTCATCAGGGATCCAGGTGAACCCGGGGAGCCCGCCTGCCTTGCCTTCCCTATGAGGGCAGCCGCCCCAGCGCCAGCCCGAGACCCCAAAGTACCCACAGCTCTCAAGTAGAGAGAACCGCACCCCCTCAAGCCTCTCACTGTGCACCAGCCCCAATGACAACCCTGGTCCAGACCCCCGTCTGACCGGTGTCCTCACCCTGACCCCTCACCAAGACCTAACTCTGGTGGGCCCACAACTCCGTCCGTCCTGAACTCACAGCCCCGTCTCAGCTTCCTGAACACTGTGGCCTGACCTCACGTGGGAGGCCCCGAGCACGCGGACGGCCCTGCCACTCGGGGTCAGGCGAGCGTGCAAGGAGGAGCTGCCCAGACCAGTGCTACAGGGAGCACAGACCCTGCACACGGGTGGCCCAGGCTCCCAGGCACCACACAGTCCCCTGAGCACAGGCGGGAGTGGCCCCCTCCCCCCAGCACCCCTGGGCACAGCTCAAGAAACCAAGAACAAAACAAAGCGGAGGGTGGGGTGGGGGTGGGGGTGGGAGTCACCTGACAGTTGCCTGGGCAGGGCTGAGAGCTACCCACTGCCCCACCCTCCCCCCAGAGAGCCGTTGCCCCTGCATCGTCACACCTGTCCTTCTCTCGCCCAGGGAGCCTCTCCTCCCTAGAGGGGTGGGCAGTTGCCACCCAGAGCCCGGGGTTGAGGCCCAGGACACTCACGTGCTGCCATTGGTCCAAGATGAGGGGTCGGTAGCGCAGGAAAAACTTGAGCGGGAAGGACTCAGGGTCAGGCCAGGTGGAAGGGTTCTGCCACGTCACCTCCAGCCGGCGAGGGTTGCTGGGCACCGGCCGGGCCACCACGTTCTCCGGAGGATCCGGCTTCACTGTGGAGGGGGGCGGAGCTTCATGGTCATGTGTCCCTCCGAGCTCCCTCCACCCCTGGCACCCTAGCCACCAGGGCCACAGTCTCACCTTGGCACCACCATGGAGGCCAGCCCTCTCTGTGGCCACTTGTGGCTGCCACCCTGACCACGTGTCCCTGCCCTCCCCCTGATATCCCATCGTCACCAATCACGGTCATCCCATCCACTGTCGTGGCACCAGTCCGCGATATCCACACGACGGCACCTCATCCCATCCCACCCACTGACCCCCTGTTCACGATGAGCCACATGCTGGCCCTGGATGGGGAGGGGTGGGGGTCTCCACCCTCAAGCCCCGGCCCATCAGGCGGCCTCTCTTACACCAGCCTTTCGCGCTGCCCCCAACCCTGACTTTCCTCTAGGCCTTTCTTTCTCTCCTGGCTGAGTCTCGGTTCGAAGCTGCTCCTAGTCAGGACAAAAGCACCATCCACCAGGACGGCAGAACTGGGGACCCAATGGGCGCGTCAAACGGCCCCGCTCAGAGAGGCCAGTGCAGTGAGGGACCCCGGTCACGAGGCAGAGAGTGAGGCCGCAGGTTTGGCTCGGGTGGGTGGGACAGAGGTTCTATCTGGGAGGGGGCCAGGCGAGGGCAGTATCTGTCCCAGTCCCGTCTCCTGTTCTGACACCTCATTCATCACAGCCCGTAAGGAAGCCATTAACATGGGAGGGGGGTGCCGTGGGGGTGGGGGGGGCTGCAGCTGCTCTGTGCAGGGTCTAGCCCAGCCTGCCGCCTCCCCCTCCTGGGCTCTGGGAGCCAGACAGACAGACAACAACGATGGGAAGGGCTGCCAGGGTGTCCCTCGGCTCCGCAGGTAAGGGACGCCCACTCGCCACGGACAGACAGGTGGGTGCTGTGTGCACCACCTGAGCACCCCCACCCACCCCCTTCTGCGGGCTGAGGGTGGTGGACCCTCCCCCGGTCCTCACGCACCGATGGTGAACTCGTCGAAGGTGATGGCCGTGGCGTTGTGGCCCAAGGCATTGCCAACGCTGACCGAGACCTTGTACTTGACGGTGGAAAACAGGTGCACGTAGCGGATGTGGCAGCGGTTCTTGAGGGCCGGGTCCTTCTCACAGGCCATGAGCTTGGAGCCATGCCTGGCACCGTGACCGACACCCAGGGGGTTAGGTGTGGGGGAGGGGTCCGGGTCTGGGGTGGGGTGGGGGGAGGGCGACGGCCAACCCCCCTCCCCGAGTCCCATCCTGCTGGGTGTCGAGAGGGCAGGGCGGGCTACTCACAGCACGGTCACGTTGAAGGCGTTGGGGATGTAGGTGGGCGCCGGCAGGTGCCAGCTGCAGTAGAAGCCCTTGGGGTAAGTGTTGGAGCGGCAGCTGAGCACCGGCTCCCGCGGGGGCACTGTGGACAAGGACAGCTCGGTCATGCCCGGAGCCCCTGGTCCCCTGCACTCGGGTGGGGGGACAGGTGGGCCCCACAATCCACGCTCTCCCCCACTTCAGCCCCTCGGCAGTACCAGAGGCTGCAGGGGCTCTGTCAGCGAGGGGCTGAGGCTTCGCAGGCCACAGAGCCAGATGTTTAATTAAAGAGGAACGAAGGCTGCGTGGAGCAGGAGCACTCCCCACCTGCTCCGCAAAGGCAGGGACGGCGGAGAGCCAGGGGGCTGCGGGCCCCGGCTCGTCTGTCACAGGACGGATGCCATGGGGCTAGAGGCAGCACCCTGCTCCTGCCACCACGGCGCATCTGCTCCTGGAGGAGGGCCTGGTGCAGGAGACCACCCCTGGGAGTGCTTGGAGGGTTGCTCCCGGATCAGTGCTCAGGAGGGGGGTGGCTCCCTGTGGTGCTCAGGGTCCCTGTCGCCCAAGCCCCGGAGGGGGAATCAGTGTGTCCGCTGGTTGCTGAAGCGTTGGGGTGCATTCCCTGGAGGTCTCAGCCTACAGACCCTAGACACCCCCCCTCTGGAGGCTGAGAACTAGGACAGGCACAGAGATTCTGCAGGGACCACAGCGTAGACAGGCCTGCTTATGTGTATGTGTGTTTACACGCATGTGTGTGCATGTGCACGGCATCTCATGAGTCTCTGTTTGGTCTGAATGTGAACCTCAGTGGCAGTGCACACAGGCAAGAGGGCCCCTGAGTGACTGACATTCAGCATGTGTCTCCCTACATGGCTGGAAGACACTGCCCCCACTTTTTTTTTGGTTTTGTGTTTTTTGGGGTCATACCTGGTGATGCTCAGGGGTTACTTACTCCTGGCTCTGCACTCAGGAATCACTCCTGGCGGTGCTCAGGGGACCATATGGGATGCCGGGAATCGAACCCAGGTCAGCCACGTGCAAGGCGAACACCCTCCCCACTGTACTACTCTGGCCCAACACTGCCCTTTTGGGGGGGTGGGGGATTGTCACAACTAGAGCTACTCCTGGCTCTGTGCTCAGGAGATAAGAGAGGATGCTGAAAATTGAAGCGGGGTAGGCCGAGTGCAAGGCAAAGGCCCTCCCCACTGTGCTGTCACTCGTGGCCTGGAGGACTTTGCCTTTGGCCAGGCGAGGCCCAGCTCCAGCAGTCCTGACCCCCTGACCACACCCTTCTCCTTCACAGCAGCCGTCTGCACTCCAGGCACGGGAGAGGGTCCTGCTTAGGGCTGCCCAGTCCGCCTGCGCCAACCCCCCCCACCCCCCCCCCCACCCCCCGGCGGAGACTCTGACCTACACCCCCACACCCCCACACGTGTGCGCCTGGAAGTCCTTTCTGCCTTCTAACCACTTTTTTTTTTTTTGCTGCTGTGAGCACTTCTCCCAGCTGTCCCGCACTCAGGCATGGGGGACAGCCTGAGGGCAGCCGGCTCAGGTTCCTGGAAGGAGGCAGATTCTGGGATCTGACCCAGGCAAGGAATGTCCATCCAGGGCTCCGGGGACACTGACACCTCCCTCCTGTTCCCGCCCCCCTCCACCCCCTGCCTGACAGGTGGACAGGAAACAGGGCGGGGGTGGGAGGTGGCGGGGGTGTGCTCAGGAACCAACTAGGGACACCAGGAGAACCTTTTGCTTGCCAAGTGGCCAGAGAGACAAGAGGGGCACATGGGATTGTGAGGGAGGGTGTGGTCACACGGACATGTCCAGTGTGTGTGTGGCGGGGGAGGCCAAGGCCCTATGTGGCTTTCCAGCAGGGGAGATCATGGGCCAGGGTGTGGCCAGTGAAGTGGGCTACGCAGAACCAAGGCTGTTCCATGGCCTTGAGCCTTCAGGGGATGCTGTGGGGGGGATAAGTACCACCACCCCCTCCCCAGGCACAGCTTCCTGCCCATAGTTGCCTGCCCTCCAGGAAGCCTTTCCGGCCTCAGTTCCATCTGCTTCTGCTCCCTGCTCCTCCTTATATGCCCCTCATCTCCCCTTCCCCATCTCTCAGGGGACTCTGTGGCGTGGGGGGGGGGGGCAATGCGACCAAGGACACAGGAAGTACCTTGTGGGGGCCTGTGGGCCAGGCCAGAGTTGGCAAGCACCCCAGGAGAAAGGACACTGTGAGGTCGGCCAGCCGAGACGCCTCCACTGCCCCCTCCTGCTGCCACCCCTCCCCTAACCCCCAGCTTCAAAGGAGAAGGGTGCTGGCGAGCTGGGCCGCGGGCTGCTGCGTCAGCGTCCTGCACCTGGGCTCCCGCGAGGGCAGTGCGGGCCATGGCAGCGGCCTCTTGCCTGCCCTGGCCCTGGCCCTAAAGCGCCTGTGCCCGCCCCCCCGCTACTGCCTACAGAGCCCCCCTCTCATTTGGGCAGGTCGCGGGGCGGCCGGGCCAGGCAGGACTTCGTCTGTCATCTGGCTGCTCCTGCCTGGCCCTGGGCCCTGAGCAGAGAAGGGCTTGGGTTTCCTGACAGGGACCAGGTTTCTGCGAGGGAAAATGAGGAAAGAAAAACAAAGACGAGGGAAGCAAAGGAGAGACTCGCTGCAGCTGGAGCCCAGCTGAGGGGCCGGGTGGGTGGAGGTGGGGTGCAGCGAGAGAGAGCGTGGGAGGCTGGGGGCACAGGGCGATGAGGGCGGCGGGGGGGGGGGTGCTGTGGAGTGGGCTTTCCGAATGTGGCAGGGTGTGCAGGCTGCACAGAGACCCACCCTGCGGTTTGGGGCAGTGGCAGAACTGACGGGGGCTGGAGGTGGACCCCGCCCATGCTGCTGGGTTTGAGGCTTTGAGATAGTGGGGGCTTGGGGAGGGGGCAGGTGCCCTGACAGCTTGTGGATGGGATGTTGCTCCATCCCTTAGACCACAGCCAGGATGCCCGGGGCTGTTGACCACGTGGCGGAGCGCGGGGCAGAGGGTGTGGGGTACCCCCAAAGGCAACTGTGTGCCCAGGCGCGCTGCACTCTGGGTGTGCATGTGTGCGAGGGCGGCGCTGATGGAGACGCCCGGGGAGCCCCCACTCCTGGCCCCGCATCCAGAGTCTCTCTCTCTCTCTCTCTCTCTCTCTCTCTCTCTCTCTCTCTCTCTCTCTCTCTCTCTCTCGGACAGCGATGGGGGTTCCGGGGATGCCTGAGCGAGTGGCCGCAGTGGCGCCCCTGCGCTCCACGTGGGGCTGTGCGCGCGCGCGCCTGCGTGCGTGCGTGCGTGCGTGCGTGCGTGCGCCCCCGCTGGCCCAGGCTTTGTTTGTTTTCCTCCTAATTGGCTTGTTTTTCCATGTCCAGCCCACCAAACCGCATGTTTTTCCTCTCATCTCGCCAGCCCGCCTGGGCTGGAGCCCCCGGCACGCACGAGGCCTGCCTGCCGGCCCAGCGTAGAGGAAGGGCGGGCTGCCCACACCCCGGGGGCCGGCCAGATCAGGCGGGGCGGGACGCAGTGACCCTTCCAGCTCAAGCCCTGCCCCGACCCCACCCGCGTGCCTCCTCCCTCCGCGGGGCGGTCAAGGTCCAGGGCAGCCCTTGTGACAGCGCTCAGGCACCCCCACTTATCCTAAAGGTCCCCCCACCTCCTCCCCACCCGGTTCTCTTCCCCAGACATCTTCAGCTATAGACGGTTCCTTCCTTCCCGGGCTAAACACGCCCGAGAGAATGTGGAAAGTTCAGTCCGGAGCATCAAAGCTGAAGATGTAGAAATAGTCCCATCACGCCAATTAGGACCTGGCCCCTCTGCTCGGCTCAGTGCTGGCGCACAGGCCTCTGATGTGTGCTGCCCTGGGTTCGACTCTGGCACCGCAATAAAGGGGTGAAAAAAGAGGAGGAGGAGGTGTAAAAGCAAAAGGGAAAAGGAGGAAGAGGAAAAGCAAGAGGGGGGGGGGAGGAAGAGGAGAAAGAAGGAAGGAGAAGGAAAACGGAGGGGAAAGAGAAAAGCATCCATCCATCTGATTTGCTCTAGCCAGAATCTGAAAGGCAGGGAATGCTCAGTGGATCACAGGCACCCGTGCCCTACTTGCTCCTGGGCTCCTGTCATTTGGGCAGGGGACTCTGGCAGCGGTGGGCCCCTGACACCGGAGGCAGGAAGAGGACAAGGTCAGGAGAAGGCGGGTCAGGGCTCAGTCTGGCTGAGGACCTCGCCCAGAATGGTTTTGTGATCGGGTTCTCTTGGAAGCAGAGACAGGAAAACCCTGGATGTTTCAGATAAATCCTAATTGTTGGTTTGAATGGCCACACATCAGGGGGCGCTCTGTCCTGCTCCCTGAAGGCTGGCGAGAGATCGTTTGATACTGAGTGTTGCCAAGCCCAGTCCAGTGGTTTGTTACTAACACCAAGTGACTGAGACCACGAGGATGAGCGTGCTCTGCTCCTCAGCCACCCTTTGGAGGGCAATAAGGCAACGAGAGGTTAGCACCTGTCACTGCCGACAGAATCTGGCCAGCACGGGATGACAGGTGGGCAGGGGGGAGGGGGATGCATCTTAGAACCCCAATTCCATCTCCTGCACTACAGACGGTCCTCGAGCACCGCCAGGAGTGATTTCTGCCCGCAGAGCCAGGAGTAGTTCTAGCTCCCCACCCCCACCCCACCGCCGCCTCAAAAAAAAAAAAAAAGAGAGACAGACATTACTTCGAGGTGCAGTTCCCCTCCAGACACCTCTCAGGGCCAGCCTTACTCATGCAGGAGTTTGCAGATTCAAAACTGAGACGATGGGGTGTGGGTGATGGGTGCCAAGTTGGCCTCTTCCATCCCTCTGTGGCACTCAAGGCCGAGGCTGGGGAGGGGGGAGGGGGCCGCCAGTGAGCTGCTCCTGCATTTCTCACACTGACCACAGGGGTCGCTCCAACCTTTGGCTTGCAACTAAGACATTTGGTTAAAAATGCCATCTCTTCTGTTTAAACACAGACAAGGTTTTTATGTGGGAAAAGGATCCTCCCCACGACCGAAACATCAACTTTTCTTGGGGGTGGGGGGGGTGGGAGGGGCACACACCCAGCAGTGCTTGGGGGCTACTTCCAATTCAGAGCTCAGAAATCTCTCCTGGGTCAGAGAGATAGTATAGCAGGTAAGGCACTTGCTTTGTACGCACAGCTGATCAGGGTTCAATCCCGGGCATCCCATATGGTCCCGTGAGCACTGCCAGGAGTGATTCCTGAGTGTAAAGCCAGGAGTAACCCCCCAAGCATCGCCAGATGTGGCCCCAAATCCAAAATTTTTTAAAAAATAGATTTTTAAAAAATAAAAGGGGCTGGAGCGATAGCACAGTGGGTAGTGCATTTGCCTTGCACATGACTGACCCAGGTTCAATTCCCAGCATCGCATATGGTCCCGTGAGTAATTCCTGAGTGCAGAGCCAGGAATAACCCCTGTACATGCCAGGTGTGACCCAAAGAGCAAAATATAAATAAAAATAAAAGAAAGCACAGAGCCAAAAATAACCCCTGAGCACTGATGGGTGTGGGCCCCCCAAACCCACTCCACCCCCAACAAGTCCTGGAAGTCACTCCTGGTGGTACTGGGGAGGGAGTGAGGAATGCATGCAGTGCTGGGGGGCCAAGCATGCACTCCAGTCCTTTGAGCTATCTCCCCTGCCAAAACATCTCCATATTACAGGTGGACTGTGCAGGCAGGGCCTGAACCCATAGCCCCTCTGAGACCGAGGCAGGCACAGGCTCCACCTCTATACCAAAACCCAGTTGCACCCCTCTTGGAGCCCCAGTGGGTGGTCAGTGGTGTCTGTAGGGAACCCAGTGCCTCGGGCATACCTCCTCTCAGCAGCACCCAGGAATCAAAGAGCTTCCTTAGACGGTGGGGACACGACCACCCAGGCCACCAGCAGGAAGCCAGAGTCTCTGGTCACGGAGGAGAAGCCATCCAACTACTATTACTACCGTCTCTCCGGTTTTCCAGGATTGACTCTGCCTGCTAAAGCCAAGCTCCCGATGACCCCAACCTCACCATGCCCATGGATGCAAACCCTCTTCTGAGGCAATGCCCCCTACCCGCCCAGACCCTCCCTCAACCTGCTCCCTTCCTAGATACTTTTTTTTCCTGCTTTTTGGGTCACACCCAGCAATGCACAGGGGTTACTTCTGGCTCTGCACTCAGGAATTATTTCTGGCAGTGCTCAGGGGACCATATGGGATGCTGGGAATCCAACCCAGGTCGGCCACTTGCAAGGCAAACACTCTACCCACTATGCTATCACTCCAGCCCCCTTCCTTAGATACTTTTGGAGGAGAGACCACACCTGTGGTGCTCAGAGTTTACTCCTGGCTCTGCACTCAGGGATCATTCCTGGTGAAGCTTGGGGACGAAATGGGGTGCTGGGGATCGAACCCCAGGTTGGCCATGTGCAAGGCGAGCGCCCTCCCCACTGTACTGTCTCTATCAATCCCTTACCCAGTGCTGCTTTCTGAGGTTCAGCACTGTGTCCTCTCTCTCCTTACCCCACAACCTCTTTGCTGACTGAGTCCCTGAGTACCCCCCAGCCTAGATCCATTGTCTCCCAGCCAACCTTCAATGCTTAGTTGTTCTCCCTGGGGGCCCCTGCCATGTCTGCTGCAGATGCTGGGGGTGCCAGTGCCCTGGCCCGCACTGGCTGCCCACTCCTGCAGTGATCTGCCTAAGAGCTTTCTCTGGCCACCAGAACCTACATCGCCTGCCCAGGCACCATGCCAAAGGAGCTGGGCCACCCCAGGACTGAATCTACAAATCGAGCTCCATTCCTGAGGTGTGTGTTCAGCAGTGGATGCTGAGCATCCCTGGGTGGGTGGGTGGGAGGGTGGGTTAAGCTCCTCATCCCAAGGGAACTTCCTCCTGACGGCCACCACCTTTTCCTTTTCCTATGGCTTCCCCATCACCTCAGCAGTGCCTGTCGAATGAAGCCCTTGTATATGAATTCCCATCTTGGGCTCTGGACTTTTGGAAACCCCAAACTAAGACACTGTCCACCTGGAATCCACTATATCTTCTGCCCTCCCTCTCCCCCCCCCGCCCTTCCCCCCCACGCACACACACACACACACACACACACACACATATTCTGCTGCTCTGCCTGCACCCTGGATTTTCCCCTTTCTCTTCTCCCCAAGCAGCTCCAAAGGCTTCTTCTCAACTTCCTCCCAGCTCCCCACCCTGGTGGCATGTCTTCACCGTGTCCTCTGCATACCCACAGGAGCTTCCTCTCTTTCCTGGTCTCGTCCCCCTGTGCAACCTGTCTCTCTTTTGCAGGGCCTGTGCAACCTGCCTCTTTTGTGATGTTCTGGGGCTACTCAGGGCTCTGCATTCAGGGTGAGTGAACACGGGTCTCCTGCAAACAGCACATGTGTCCCAGTCAGCTAAGCTTTATCTCTCCGGCTCCAATCTGCCTCTCATCTGCAGGGAAGTGAGAAGGAATCTTTTTTTTTTTAATTTTTCCTTTCCTTTTCTGTTATTTTGTGGTGCCAGGGATCAAACCCAGAGCTCACACTTCCAAGGTCTGCACTCTAGCACCAAGCCACCTCCCTGGGCCCCAGCTCCCGTGACCGTCCAGTTTCTAGACTCTGGAGTCGAGCTACCCCCTCCCTGCCTCCCTGTTTACACCAGCCTAAGGGGCCTTTTCCTGCTCTCGCGGCTTCTGGGCCCCCAGAGTCACACTCAGCCTTTTGCCCAGCGTGACTTTTTCAGTATTATTCCCCCTCTCCAAATCTCCACTTCCCTTCTCCCCCTGGACCTCCCTGCTTGCCTGGGCCCTCCCCAAAGGCCTAAGGACCAGGTGCCCCTCCCACCCACCACCTTCAACCCCCACCTACCCCCCCACCATGGCTGTTCTGACTAGAGTCTGGCCCGGGGTATTCCTCCCCAGCTGGGCTCTCCTCACCAGCCCTTCTGGGCCCCCACTCATCAGAGGAAGCAAGATGGGAGACCCCCACGCGGGCTGGGCTCAGAGGACAAAGCAGGTTGGATTAAGATCAGCAGACACAAGTTATGGGGAGATGCCCCTACCCCTGCCCCCCAATAGGACACAGACTGGCTGCGAGTGATATTGGGGTGTTGGGGGGGTGGCACTTACGACCCACGTGCAGCACCACCTGGTGCCGCTGGTGCCAAGAGTCCCGGTGGAAGCAGTCGTAGAGGCCGCTGTGGCCCAGCTCCAGGCCCCGGAGTACCAGCTGGGAGCCATTGAGCAGGTCCGCTGCCAGGTCTGTCCCGTTCACCCGCCAGGTCACCGCCATGTCCCAGCTCGCTGTCCCGCATGGCAGCGTCACATCGGAGCCCAGACGCTCGTACTGCACGTGCGGGGCCTCTGGATGGGGAGGGCGGGCAGCACAGGGAGGAAATCACAGATCACAGGAGGTCACAGCTCACCACCCAGGCCCCAGGGAGGCCGCCAGCACAGGCCACCTGTCTGCAGGGAGCATCCTGGGCTGGGCGCAGGGGGAGGGGGGGCGGAGCTGAGGCTTCAGAAAGCTGCAGGTGCAGGTTCTCTGCAGGGGAGCCCTGGCTGTCCCCCAATCCTTCGTATCTTTTGATCCCCACGCACCCAATCTCTTGCCACCTTCCTCCTAAACCAGTTCTGGTCACCGATCTCGGCTGCCTGTGCAGGGTGGGACCGAGGACCCCCCGCCCCCCATCCAGGCTTTCTTTCTCTGTGTACCTCCTCCCGCCATCTTTTTCTCTTTTGTCTCCGTCCTGCCTCCTCCCCCCACCCCCACTCCCGCCAAGCTGGCTCCCCAGGACACGCCCCCCACCCCCCACAATTAGCCAGGGCTGCTTGGGCTGCAGCAGGGAGAAGGGCCAGGACCCAGCTCCGGAACCCTGGGGAATCCTAGCAGCTCTCATCTCCGCAGGCAGGAACTGCAGGAGTGGGGGGTGGGGAGCCCTAGGACAGGTCCTCTCCTGCTGTCTGCCCCCCTCCCCCTCGGTCCCCTCCCCACGGCAAGGGACTGTCGGGGCCAAAAGCACACCCCAGCCCTGACCAAAGCAATGGCAGCAGGGCGGGTGTGATGATGGAGCCCAGGAGGAGTGGCGAGGTGGGAGGGAGCGCTGGGCCCCTGGCCGGCGGAGTTGGCTGGGGACAGCACTGCAGCCACCAGGCTGGGGACAACAGCTCAGCAGAGGGGGCAGGAGCACCCCCCTCCTCCAGGCTGGAAGAAGGACAGATGCTTTCCCAGCCAGAGGGTGTGAGGAGAGAGCAGGGGTGAAGGGTGGGGGCAGAGTTGTTGGGGGGCAGTATCCCTCGTTAACACTCCCTGGTATCTCCCCTCCAGAGCGCCACCCCGCTGAGTTGGGGGATTTTCAGAGGCAATTCCTGTTAACGAGCCAATTAAGTTGGGCCAGTGGCCTCTTAATTAGACTTGTTAACACCACTGGGACCACAGGGGGTAGGAATCCCTCCACCACCAGCCGCCCCCTTCCTGACAGCCCCCAAGCCCCCTTCCCTGCCCCCCACCACCACTCTGCCCAGCCAGCAGCGCACGGGACCAGGGCCCTGTCTGGGCTGGCGCCGCCTGTGCCGAGGGGGGGTGGGGGCTGCCCAGCGCCCTGTCTCTGTCCTGCCCTTCTCCCAGCCTCTGTCCAGAGAGAGGGGAGCAGGGCTCCCCGCCAGCCCTGACCAATCGTCTGTGGGGCCTGGGACCACAGTGCAGGGGATGAACGGACGGAAGGGCGGCGGCTGGGGGCCTTGGAGGCCACAGCTGCGAGGCTGGACCAGAGGCTGGACGCGGGCCTCCCCCTGACCAGAGGCCCAGTGTCCACAGAGCTCAAGCCATAGAGCCCCCCCAATCCACCAGCCCTAGCCACTGAGCCCCCCTCCAGTCTCCCTTCCAAAAACCTGGAGCTTCCAGGAAACGTGCCAAGCCCCTCGCTCTCAGCACCACCCCCCAACAGAGAGTCCGCATCCAGCTGCGGAGACAGAGACGGAGAAGATGCAGGAGGAGGAGGAGGCGAAGAGGAGGAGGAGGAAGAGGAGGAGGAGGAGGAGGAGGTGGAGGAGGAGGTGGAGGAGGAGGAAGAGGAGGAGGAGGAGGAGGAGGTGGAGGAGGACTGACCATTGTGGAGGGGAGTGGCCATCGTGATCTGGGTGAACACATCCAGACCTCGATAGCAGCCCCGGCCACCAGTGGACCCCTCCAGGCCCACTCACACGGGGGGAGGGGCAGTAGATCCTCACGGTCCTTGAGGGGGCAGCACCCAGCAAAACTGACCATGGGGTGTCTCTTCCCCACCTCCCAAGGAGGCGACCAAGCCAGTGGGCAGGGACACAGGCAGGGCAGGGAGAAGAGGTGACAGCACAGTGACAGCAGACAAGCGCAGGCCACGCCGAGGGGAGGGACAGTCACACCCAGGGCCACAGCCCGAGAGGCAGCAACTGCAGCCTTTGTCTCTGGGCGGACAGACGGCACCCCCCACCCCCCGCCCCGGGGGTGCCCCAGTGATGTGCTGTCCATTTCAGAAATTAAATCAGGCAGGAGGGGGAGGACGGGGTTCTTGGCCCTGAGGCGGTGACAAATGCTCCAAAGGAATCAGCTGTGAAAAGGTTGTGAGCAGCCAGGATGAGAGACAGAGACAGGATGAGGTCATGGACGGGGAGCGCGGGGGACCCGGCCGGCCGAGGCGCCCTCACACCTGCGCACGGGCTCACGCAGGGGACCACGAGCCGGAAACGGTCCCCGGGGCGGGCAGGCAGGCAGGCAGCGGCATCGCCACCACCGGAGAGGACCCTGACCACAGAGGGAAAACACAAGGAGACAGTCACCCAGGGCCACATCCGCCTCCAGGAGCGTGACACCCAGCATGGGACGCGTTCCCGCCTGTGCCATGAGGACCCCCACCCAGAGGCACTGCTGCGTCAGGGACTCAGCTCCCAGGATGGATGAGAAGTGACACACCGAGGAAGGACTCTCCTCTCTCTCTCCTTTCTTTCTCTCTCCCCTCTTTCCTTCCCTCCTCTCTCTCTCTTTTAGCTCTCTTCTCTCTGTGTCTCTGTCTCTGTCTCTGTCTCTCTCTCTCTCTGTCTCTCTCTCTCTCTCTCTCTCTCTCTGTCCTCTCTCTCAGTAAGGACTCACACACGGGATACAAGATACACACAGGGTAAGGACACAAACAGGACACAATGGGGTACAGGACTCAAAAGGAGTGCAGAACTCATGCATGGGTACAGTACAAATACACAGGCTATAGGACATACATGGGGTATAGAATACACACACATGGGGACAGGACACACTCAAGGGACAGAACACACACACGGGGATAGGACACACACACACACAGAGGATGAGACACACAGGGGACAGGGCACACACACAGGGGACAAAATACACACAAGGGGACAGGACACACACGCACACGCGGATAGAACACACCACATGGGGACAGGACACACATACACACACACGGAGATAGGACGCACACACACACATACACACACACAGGGTACAGTACATACACACACCACGGTCCCCACCATCAGCCCCCTGGGGTCACTTCTCCAGCTCAGACCTTGTCTTCCCCCGTCCATTCTAGGGGGTGGGAGGGGGTGCAGTGCCTCCTCTGGAAACAAGGGGTTGGGGGCAGCTCCCAGCACCACTCCCCAGCCACCCGCTCACTGACCTGTCCCTTCCTGGGGGTGCCCGGCCCCTTCAGTGTACCCTGCCCAAGTCCCTCTTGCTTTGTCCCCATCTTCCCTGGCGGGCAGAGTTCTCCAAACTTAACCTGGTCTCCTGCCTCCTTCTCAGAAAAAAAAAATGACTCAGTGCACCCCTGGACCTCCGGCCTCTTGCATGTAAAGACCCTTTCCAGAGCAGTGGCAACCCCCCGCCTCCCCCCCAGATTACCCCAGTGCTAGCGGAGAGGCAGTTTGGGGCGGGGAGCTGGGCAGTGGAGCCAATCTGGGGAAACAGTGCTCTAGACAAGTGGATCTCCAGGTACCCCCCAGGAGAGCCCAAGGGGGACAAAGGTTAAATGGTGCCCCTGGTGGGGCTGGAGTGATAGCACAGCAGGTAGGGCGTTTGCCTTGCACGCGGCCGACCCAGGTTCAATTCCCAGCATCCCATATGGTCCCCTGAGCACCGCCAGGAGTGATTCCTGAGTGCAGAGCCAGGAGTGACCCCTGTGCATCGCCGGGTGTGACCCAAAAAGCAAAATAAATAAATAAATAAATAAATGGTGCCCCTGGAGGACCACATCTCGAGGCCAGGGAGCCAACCATCAGGATGGGGAGAGGCCAGGTTCGCTGCCCTGGAATAAGAGGCTGCAGCCTTGCCGCAGCCCCGGGGACCTCACTACAGCAGCGAAACTACAGGGGCCCTCCCACCCCACCTGCCTGGGCCCTACCACACAACGGGGAACCGGGCAGGCCACCCTTTGCTGTGACGGTGGCGGGATCTCACCCCTTTGCCTGTGGGACAGCGAGTGGGTGCAGCTCCCGCCCCCATGCACCCCCACCCACCCACCCCCAGCACTCACCCTGTGGACTGTGTCTCTGCGCGTAGACCACAGCGGCGGCGGCGGCCAGCACGGCACAGCAGGCCCAGGGCACTGGAGCGGCCATCTGCAGGGAGAGACAGACGGGGAGCTGGGAGAAGGTGCAGCAGCCCAGCTGGGGGCGTGCTGTGGAGCCCCCCTACTTCTCAGGGCATGACTGGGAAACCCCAGCCCCAGGGCCCGGGAACCTTGACCCCAGTGTCCTCCTTAACGAGGCTCAGGATTCTCTTTCAAACAACGGAAAGCAACGTTATTGGCATCCGTCGGCCGAGGCAGGCTAAGATGGCAGGAGGCACCCGGCGGCCGCGGTTTGCTGTTCGATAAGGCTGGGGCTGTCGGAGGGAGTCAACCACGGATGAGTTATGGGGCGTCCCTAATGAGGGGGCCAGTTTTCTACCAAAAAATAATAATGACTTTGCCCGTGAAGTTAGCTCCTTAGCTGCCACACTGCGCCCAGCCAGTCTGTACCGGCAGCTCCAGGGACGTCCGTGCTCAGAGAAAACCTGAAAGCTGGGTGCCCCAGGGCCCCCTCGGGTCTGCCTCCAGGGGGTCCGGCCTCTGGGCTTGGGGAACTTTGGAGAAGCAGAACCCCAGGGGAGCAATGGCTGTGAGCAAGGTCAGCGGCAGCTTCTGCGGGAGAGCACCCCAATGACCAGGAGAGAGGATAAGGTGTGCTTACTTAAGCTCTCTCAGGGACCTCATGCCCTTGGAGCCTGAGATCTCACCCAATGGAAGATGCGTATCAGTGTCTACAGGGGTCCCTGGGGCACCCAGAACACATTCAGGACACGTCCCCGGAAGCCGAGATGGACCTTCCTCCCTACTCTTAGGATGCGCCCATCAGCAGATACTCAAGACTGAAGACAGGGAAATAACTTTGTGCACCCCAAATCTGACCCTCCCACTCGTCTCAGGAGTGGGGGGGGGGCTGTCAGCCATACAGAAGCAGAAGAGACTGGGGGAGAGGGTGCACAGTTAAAGCCAGAGTCAGATCCTGAACAGAGACAGGGGCCAGGGATGCGCCCTAACCAGACAAGACCCCAAAACAAACAGGCCCACCAGCTAGAGCTGCCCTGGAAACCCTGCATGGAGCAATCCAAGCCAAAGAGAAGGGACCGGAGCCATCACAGAAATGCAAGGGCTCTTGTCTTGCACGCGGCCCACCATGCAGGTTTGGTCCCCAGCACGTCATCTGGTCTCCCAGGCCCCACCAGGAGTGACCCCCGAGTCCAGGGCAAGGAGGAGTAAGCCCTGAGCACTGCCAGGAAGAGCCCCCCAAACAAACAAAATCAGAGAGAACCAGGTAGACCCAGAGTGGAACAAATGGCACCACACAGCACCCAAGGCCCAGTCTGCAAGGCTAGAAAGGACTCGGCCAGATGCAAGCTGACAGCCCACAGGAGAAAGAGCCAGAACACCAAGCAGCTGTGACACAGCCTGGATGGTGTCGGAAACTGTACCCAAGGTGGACAGCCTGACGCACAAGCCGAGAACAGCCAGAGAAACTAACAGACCCAAGAGCAGGGACCTGCATGGAGAGACAGCTAGAGGAAAGCGCCAGACGGCCAGACACACATCAGGAAGCAGCAACACATGCTCTTGCACACACACAGCCTGAGAGACACAGACACAGTCAGACATGGGACAGATAGATCCCGGCCTGGTCACTGAAGACACTCCAGCGGGTGTCAGCCTGGAGCCGTGTGGGGACCCTTCTACCACAAAAAAACTCCATGCCCCCTCACCAGGAGGGCCCCTCATCTGCACCCACAGCCTCAGGGGCCACTGCCCCACCTCAACTGTCCCATAAGCGCGACGCCCAGGCCTCAGCTTCCCTGGCATCTCTGGCATCACTGCCCTCTCAGGCAAGACCTGGTAAGTCATCGTCAGCAAGTGGTGAGGCCCAGAAATGAACCCCAGAGTGTCCGCACTCAGAGACCAGGGGACTCCTGCCTCTCCACGGCTGCCTCTGTCCACCCTGCTTCAGTGGGAGCAGAAACCCGGACATGGCAGGAGAGGGAGATGCAGAGCGGGCGTGGGGCTGCACGAAGGGGCAGCACACGGTGGGTGGGGGCGCTGCCTGCTCCCGGCCCCTTCCCAGTGCAAAGATGCATCCCAGGACACACACACTCACACCCACACCCACACACACCCACCTACACTCACTCATATGCACATTCACGCACCCCACACACTCACACACACACACATTCACCCACCTCCACACACATGCCACACACACCCAAACACATTCCACACCCCATACACACTCACCTCCACACACTCATACCTTCCACCCCACACACTCACACCTCATACACACCCACCTCCACACTCACACACCACACACTCACACACCACCACACACACATTCACCCACCTCCACACACACCACACACCTCCACACACACATTCACCCACCTCCACACACTCATACACCACACACTCACACACCTCCACACACTCACACACCTCCACACACTCACACACCTCCACACACACACCACACACCTCCACACACACACACACCACACTCACACACCTCCACACACTCACATACCACACTCACACACCTCCACACACACACTCACCCACCTCCATACACTCACACACCACACACTCACACACCTCCACACACATTCACCCACCTCCATACACTCACACACCACACACTCACACACCTCCACACACACACTCACCCACCTCCATACACTCACACACCACACACTCACACACCTTCACACACACACTCACCCACCTCCACACACTCACACACCACACACTCACACACCTCCACACACACATTCACCCACCTCCACACACTCACACACCACACACTCACACACCTCCACACACACTCACCCACCTCCACACACTCACACACCACACACTCACACACCTCCACACACACATTCACCCACCTCCACACACTCACACCACATACTCACACACCTCCACACACACATTCACCCACCTCCACACACTCACACACCACACACTCACACACCTCCACACATACATTCACCCACCTCCATACACTCACACACCACACACTCACACACCTCCACACACACATTCACCCACCTCCACACACTCACACACCACACACTCACACACCTCCACACACACTCACCCACCTCCACACACTCACACACCACACACTCACACACCTCCACACACACATTCACCCACCTCCACACACTCACACCACACACTCACACACCTCCACACACACTCACCCACCTCCACACACTCACACACCACACACTCACACACCTCCACACACACACTCACCCACCTCCATACACACACACCACACACCTCCACACACACATTCACCCACCTCCACACACTCACACACCACACACTCACACACCTCCACACACACATTCACCCACCTCCATACACTCACACACCACACACCTCCACACACACATTCACCCACCTCCACACACTCACACACCACACACTCACACACCTCCACACACACACTCACCCACCTCCACACTCACACACCACACACCTCCACACACACATTCACCCACCTCCACACACTCACGCCCCACACACTCACACACACTCCCCCACACACATTCGCCACCCCCACACACTCATACCCAGCACACACCCACCTCCACACACTCTTTCACGTACACACACAGGTGCGAGCGTGTGCCCACCTCCACATACTCTCACACACACACACACGCACGCATGTGTGTGCCCACCTCCACACACTCTCATACACTCCACCCTGTGGGGGAGGGGCGGCTTCCTCATCAAAGTCGCCTCCATCAGCCCGATGAGTTACTGTAAGGGCCGGGCCCTGGGCCAACGGGGCTGCTGCCATGGGAGCCAAGATGGGCGCTGCTGCGAGCGGGCGCTGCGGAACGCCAGCGGGGGAGGGGGCATCAGGCACTGCAGGACCGGGGGCACCTAGCAGGAGGGAGAGAGCCCGAAGGCCGCAGGGGCAGGGAGGAAGGGTAAGTCGTGAGCGGAGAAGACAGAGCTGGGGAGAACGGGAGCAGAGAGGGAGGTAGGGAGATGGGAGGAGAGTCAGGACAGGGGGAGAGGCCCAGAGAGCAAGCCAGCAGGGTCTCGGGGCTGCCCACGGCATCTCTCTCAGCCCCCGACTGACTCCAAGAGGGCCAGAGGAGACCCCCTGCTCCCCGCATCCAGGAAGCCCCAGCAAAGGCCCCCTCTCACTGTGTCTCCCCTCGGTCCGCTCCTTCCCAGGCTGCGAGCTGCCCTGCGGCGGGAGGCCTCCAGGCTCCCCACCCCTGCCCTAGCTCAGCTCAGCTACCCAGCCCAGGGCAAAGAGAACTTTCCCAGGAATGTTCCGATCCACACCCCACAGTTCAGGGAGGTTCAGGCCCACGGAGCTCCATCCACGGGCCCGGGCTCCCCAGAGGGCCCTCCATGGGGCCAGTCTAGCTTTGAGCCCCCCCCCCAGCAGGAAGAGGGGACAGAGGACCCTGATAATTAAAGAGCCCAGTGGTCAGCAGCCCAGACAGTCCTGTCTCAGGACACCACAGTGTCACCACCATAGACACACGCACGGAGGTGACGCAGCCAGAGACAAATTCTGGGCGGAGGGAGAGAGGCTGGAGCAGGGGCGGTACAGGAGCTGAGGCTTAATCCCGGCACTGCAGGGCTGAGGACACCGGGAGTGACCCCCATGCACAGAGCCAGGAGTAGCCCCAAAGTACCACCAGGTGTGGCCCCCTGCAAAATAAAATACAACAAAAAAGAGGGAGAGAAGTTCTAAAGCCCCAATTATCTTTTTTTTTAATGTTTTGTTTGGAGGGGGAGTTATTTGTTTGGGGGCCACACCCAGCTGTGCTCAGGGCTTATTCCTGGCTCTGTGCTCAGGGATCAATCCTGGTGGGGCCCAGGGGACCCTGTGAGGTGCTGGGATCAAATCCAGGTCAGGCACACGCAAGGCAAGTGCCCCTCCTGCTGTACAATCTCTCTGGTCCCAGCCCCAACTTGCTTGCTTTTCTGAAAGGCTGGGGGCTTGGGCCACACCTGGCATTGCTGAGGACTCACTCCTGGCCAGGATCAGCT